ATCTATCTATCTATCTATCTATCTATCTATCTATCTATCTATCTATCTATCTATCTATCTGCTGAGGTAATCGGGGGTTGAGTGACCTGCCCAGGGTCACACAGTTAATAAGAGTCAAGTGTCTGAGGTCGCATTTAAACTCAGGTCCTCCTGACTCCAAGGCCAGAGCTCTATCCACTGCGCCACCTAGCTGCCCCCAATCATAGATTTAGAGCAGGAAGGATTATGGGACTATAGATTTAGAGGGGACCGTGGTGGGTATTGAGTTCCGCCCCCTCATTTTACAGATGAGGAAACTGAGGCCTAGAGCAACTAGTAAACAACTGAGGCAGAATTTGAAATCCAGGTCTTCCCTTCTGTCTAGCTCTCATGTACCATGCACTAAGCTGACTCTCAGTGCCATCCCTGTATCTCTTCCATCTGTTTCCTTCTCCCTCCTCACATTTGCACTCCCTAGTTCAGCCTCTTATTATCACTCACCTGAAGGATTACATCAGCCTCCTAGCAGGTTTTCACACCTCTTATCTCACCCTCCTACTACCCACCTGGCATACTGCTCCCACACTTGTTGTTCAGACATTTTTCAGTCGTATCCAATTCTTCATAACCCCATTTGGGGTTTTCTTGGCAGAGATACTGTAGTGGTTTGCCATTTCCTTCTCTGGTTCATTTTAAAGATGAGGAAACTGAGGCAAACAGGGTGAAGTGACTTGCCCAGGGTCACACAACTAGCAAGTATCTGAAGCTGGATTTGAACTCAGGTGTTCCTGACTCCAGGCCCAGTGCTCTATCTTCTGCACCACCTAGCTGCCTCTAGGCAAAGATCATTGGTAAAACATCATGGCAGAGCTGTACTTAAGATTGAGAGGCAGTGTTGCATAGTGGATAGAGTGCTGAACTTGGAGTCAGGGAGACTCAGGGTTAAAACCTGCCTCTGATATATACCAAGTATGTGATCCCTCAAGCAAGTTGTCAGTGCCCAAGGCAATTCCAGAAGACTGCAAGTAATGGATAAGCAGCCAGTGTACACTGGTAGGCGTTTTATCCAAAGTCACACAGACAGTAAGAAAGCCCCAGAAGGTGACTTTCTACCTCCAAATCCAGGACTCCTTCCATGATACCACACTGCTTCCTTGTCCAGCGAGTTCCCTAAACTGAGATGAAATCATACATGTGACCAAAAAGAAAACTACTACATATTATAAGCAGTGAGATGTCACCAAAGTGCAAAGTCTTGGAGTATAAAGATAGACTATGAAAAGCTTGGCATGAGACCCAACTGAGATGAGATATTTAGAGATAATTCGTAGACTCAAGTGTCAGGAAGATAACAAATAGACTAAACTGGGCGCAGTTGGCAAGACATATTTCTCACACCAACTCTGAGGCAGACAGGGTAGATAGTAATACCCCCATCTTACAGATGAGGGAACTGAGAATCTGAGAAAGTCTTGCTCTGGACAGGGTCAAGTAAGTACGAGGGCTGGAATTTTAACTGAGATTCCTTGACTCCAAATCCAGCATACGTTTCATTGTATGATGCTGCATCCTATTGGCTATTTTTTTTAAAAAGTAATCTATTCTCCTTGTCAATGATAGCAGAACCACCACACTCCAGTTGAACACCTCAGTACCTGATGTGCCAGGAAACATCAAGTGTAACATCCAAGTGTTACTTTGGAAAAACAATGTTGTAAAAAGCTGTTGTATCTAACCATATCCATAAGAGTGAAACAATTAAAAGAACATTTGAGGAATTTACTTTCAAGTAATTTCAAAGACAGGATGATCACAAAAGACATGGAAATAGCATGGATATTAACATTACCCCCAAAAAAAGATGATAAAAAATTTGACACATGTGCCTATTTTCTCATTGCTTTAGAAACCTCATGAGAATGGTCTATGCACATTGAAGTGGGTATCCTTGATGAAAATTTAAGAAGTTAACAGGAAAGCTTTCACAATCAATTCTCTATAACAGGTCATATTCACACTCACACAATTGACTAAGAAGGCTAGAGAATGCAACATTTTACTACCTTTATTGATTTATCTCTAAACAAACAAAGTCTTTGGGCAGCTAAGTGATGTAGTGGACAGAGTATTGGATTTGGAGTAAGGAAGATCTGAGATACCTAGGTATGTGACCTTGGGCAAGATATTTAACCTCACTCTGCCTCAGTATCCTCATGTGTAAAATGGGGGTTATAATGGCACCTGCCTCCCAGGGTTGTTGTGAGGATCCAATGAGATAACATATAAAATGCTTTACAAATCTTAAAGGGCTGTTTAAATGCTAGTAGTAGTAGTAGTAGCAGCAGTAGTAGTAGTAGTAGTTTTTTAAGGTCCCTACCAGCTTTAACTCCATGATCCTATGACCCCACCATAGAGAAACTCATTCAACAACTCTGATTATATAAAGTAATGCCTAAATGATTTGCTAACAGGATTCCACACTATGTTGGAAGCCATAAAGTACAAAGTCCCTGTGGATAATAATGGTAATAATAATAATAATAATAACAATAATAGCTAGCATTCATGTAGCTTTTTAAGATTTGAAAGGTGCTTTTCAAGTGCTATTTCATTTTATCCTCACAACCACCCTGGGAAGTAGGTGCTATTTATTATCCCCATTTTACAGATGGAAAAATTGAGGCAGATGGAGGTGAAGTGATTTGTCCAGGGTCACATAGATAGGAAGTCTCTAAGGCTACATTTGAACTCAGGTCTTCCTCCCTCATGGTCCAATGCTCTATCTGCAGCACCATCTAGATGTGATGAGGGATTCTCTAGAGAAGGTAAAGTTCTCCTGATGCTCCAGTATGAAGATGACATCTTACTGATGGCACTAAGCTCTGGCATATGTCAGGGTCTCAATAAAGCTGCAGCTATTTTAAAGATATTGGTCTAGTAATTGCTACAGAAAAACCAAACCTCTGTGGATGAAAATGATTATTTATAACATAAAATGGAATAGAGAGCCCATTCAGGTAATCCATCAGTATTCATATCTTAGACAGGCATTGCAAACGGACTTGGGCCCAGAATTAAATAGGACAAAATACTCCATATTGTACAATGTTTTCAACAGTCCTAAGCTATTCTCAGCCACCAAAGCCTATGTTTTGTACATCAATAACCTTCTGGTGACGCTATAGATCTGGCGAATCATTGGAAGAATCAAAATTGTAGGTGACCCAAAGACAATGGATTGATGTGGAAACATGGTTAATATAAGTTGGCTGCAGCATATTATCAATGATAACTTGTGTGCAAAGAATGATATAAAAGATACTCTTGAAGACCACAGACTGAAAGCTAAAAGGGATATCCCCTCATTTTAGGGATAAGAAAATTGAGTTCTGGAAAGAGAAAATGACTTGCCCAGCATCACATAGGAAATGAGTGAAAATGGTGGGATTTGAACCCAGATCATCTCACGCCAAGCACAATATTCTTTCTACCTCACCAGACTGTTCTCACGTGTATGATCAGACAGGGAGGTAGATTTTTAATGTGAACTGTCAGTTCCACTTTCTATTTGTTGTCTTCCTTTTGTTTGCATCTATGAATACTTTCTAAATTATGCAGCAAGAACAAGGAATAATATGCTGATGGATAGCCCAAAGGTCCCCTCCAAAATACTAAAATACCAAGAAGAAGGCTTCTGGCAAATTATAAAATACCATTATGAAATATTGAAAAACCAGGAGGAAGGCTTTTAGCACATTGGGTCAATTCTATTAGAATGTAAGCTCCTTGAGGGCAGGGACATAGATGACATAAAAAGAAAAGATATCAATGAAAATTGATTTCTTCAACCAGTTGGTCCTATGATCAATTGCTGCTATGCCTTTATAGACAGACCCTTTATAGAAAATGGTTGGGTACATGAATTCAGATCTACTGTTGGTCAAACCATATCCTCTAAGACATAACTCCTTATAGTCAAACTTGGTCTTAATATGATTCTGATGATTCTGTCAGTCTACTGGGATGGCCATCAAAGAGGTTCTAATCTTACTGTAAATGTTCTTGTCAAATGGTTTTCTATGGCTGCTTAGCCAAGAGAACTCAGCTGAGTGTAACAATACCAGATTCCTCTTTTCCAATCCCCTCACTGGAGAGGAATCTCTGACAATCTCAGCCAAGCTGATCTCCTACAGCAAGTGAGGAGATTCATTCATTCATTCATTCAATAAACATCTGTTAAGTCCCTACTACATGCCAGGCACTGAGCCAAGTGCTAATGATACAAAAGGGGGAAAAATCAACTGGTCTCCTTGGACTGGCTCCATTGTCATCATTCCCCAGGAAATGAGCAATTCCTAGCAAGATAGTATCAGCTTTGGTACTCCTACATTTTCAGTACCCCCAATATCTTCTCCCACCTCTGAATGGAGGGCTGGAGTGTAGAACAAAGAACTTCTCCCAAAACTTCCGTTTAAGGAGGGCACACAGACCAGTTAACTCTTCATTTCTTACCAGATGCACTCTATGTACTGGACTCCCCCTCCCCAACCACCCCCCAACCCTCCCTCTTTTAATAATTCTTTTATGTATTGTCTTCCAATACAATATGTATTGTATAGTCCCTCCTTGAGGGGAGGGACTAGCTTTCTTTTTTTAATTTGTATCCCCAGCACTTCACACAGTGCCTGTCACAAAGTAGATGCTTAAATATTTATTGATTGAAAGGCTGAAGGTCCCAGTTCCTAAAGCCAGAGATATATAAAAGACTTTCACTAAGGTAACAAAGATGTCATTTTTAACAATGTCCTATTTAAGATTTGTTTTGAATGGCCTATATTTGAAAGGATGCCTATTTTTATCACATTTCTGCAATATGCAATTAGACTCTTTTCTAGTGGAAGACTCACCAATTCCTGATGATGATGGCTTAACCTAATGACTGCACAGTGCCAGAGAGCTAGAAGGGGCTCTTCATAATACATCTAACCCAACTCTTTCACTTTATTTTAAAAAATAAGTTTTACTGGTGTCTTTAATTTATATATCACAGTATTTTTTTTGGTATACCTCCCATTCCCTCAAATTGAATCTTTTCTTGTAAAAAAGAAAGAACTGAGGCAGATCAAGTCAACCAGAGTTTATTAAGCACCTACTATATGCTAATCACATAACTGGAAAGCACCTCCAAGCCATCTAGTTCAATTCTTTCATTTTACAGATAAGGGAGGCCCAGGGAGATTAAATAAATTTCTTACCTAAGGTCACATAGACAGTAAGCAACAGATTTGAATTCGGTCCCCTCCTTCCAGAGCCAATGCGCTCTCACACTCTCTCTCTCTCTCTCTCTCTCTCTCTCGGTGAGGCAATTGGGGTTAAGTGACTTGCCCACAGTCACACAGCTAGTGAGTGTTATGTATCTGAGGCCGGATTTGAACTCAGGTCTTCCTGACTCCAGGGCCAGTGCTCTATCCACTGTGTCACCTAGCTGCCCTGAACCAATGCTCTCTCTATCATGGTATAGTAGATAGAACACTGGGCCTGGAGTTAAGAAGACCTAAATTCACATCCAGCCTCACACTTTTTAATGGTGTGAACTTGGGCAAGTCACTTTACTTCTGCCTGCCTCAGTTTCCTAATCTGTAAAATGGGGATAATAATAGCACCTACCTCCAAGGGTTGTTGCGAGGATCAAATGAGATCATATTTGAAAAGTGCTGAGCACAGTGGCTGGCACATAGTAGGTGCTTTATAAATGCTTATTCCTTTTCCCCCCTCACTAAACCCTACCTCCTAACAATGTATATGACATTCCTTTCTGGTAAGTTACAGTATCCATGCTCTGCAACAAAGGTTGATTTTTTTAGTTCCTCAGAATGACGTTTCCCATTAGTGATGTTTTTGTTTGTACTGCTTAGTCGTATATATTGTTCTCTGGGTTTTGCTTCTTTCATTTGCATCAGTTGCTACAAGTCATCTCATGGTTTTCTGAATTCCTCACATTCATTTCTTATGCACAATAAGGTTGCACTACATTTGTAGACCATAACTAACTCATTCAGCCATTTCCTGATCAATGGCCACCATACCCAATGTGTTTCTTGACCTCCACAAAAAGTGCTGCAATTAATATTCTGGCAATTATCGAGCCTTTGTTTCTATCTTTGAAGTTTCCATTTTAAAATGGTGAAACAAAGACTCAATAAAGAAGTCTGCCTGGCCCAGAGCCACACAACAGATTCCTAGAAGAGTTGAGACCAGAAGCCAGGTGTCCTAGCCCCTATCTAGATACTGGAGTATCTTAAAAGGAGATCTTATGGATGAGAATAATCTGAGAAAAATGTAAGACCTGATGTCAATCTGTAATTGTGCCCCTGCACCTGTGAAGAACATAGATTCAGTCAGAAAGACTCTGTGGCCCTAGGCATGGCATGACTTCTTGGGACCCCAGGGAATTAATTCTCTAAGAATTGCAAAGCAGGTGCCAATCTGCATTGGTGGAGGGATATTACTCATGGGGAGTCCCTTATTCCAATGAAATTCCAGGTCCAGACCCTTCTCCCATATCCCCATCAAAAAAAATCCTTAGTCATTTCTATATGATAACATAAATTCCAAGTCTGTGGTATATTTTGAGATTTCATACTAATCAAGCCCAATCACAGTGATATACTGCCACATATACGCTTGAAAGGCTAGGTAAGAGGAAAGCTGCTCATTTCAATTAGATTGTGCTCTTTCCACATAATCTTGTCTTTACAGATAATCCATTTATGCTAACTATCTGTTTCAAAATCATGAATTGTAATTGTCACTAGGTTTTAGTTCAGTAGCCAAAACTCCTAGTAGGACAGGCATCATTGGAGCAAAGAAATTTGGGGTTAGATGGTAATCACTAAAAATATTTAACATGAAGTTATCTTGATGGTGGTGGTGGGAAGGGGGATCAGAAATAGAATTTCAATGGCAGAGGGAACTCCTGCTGGACTAGATGGTATCTAGGATTCTTTCTAATTGTAAGTCAATGATCCCTTTTTAGATGAGTCTATGATTTTCTGAATTAAATTACAAAGAACTGAAAGAATAATGGAAAGACATCCAGTAGGAAGAAAAAGGCTGTATGGCATATTACCAGTGGTAATCTATGCCCTTAGAGTAGTGTAAAAGACATGGAGAGCGACTAGAGTAAGAGGACTTGGGGTTACCTCCTACTTCTGTCACTCACTGTCTGACAAATGGCCTCTACAGTCTTTTCCAGTCATAAATCTATGATCCTGTAATGTCACCTCCTTGAGCCTAAATTTCCTTATCTATATGATAATGAGGGAGTCAGCTCACTTTTAAGGTCCCTTCAAGCTCTCAATCTTTGATCCTGTAATCGAGGCTATATATGACCAGAAAAGGTGGTAGGCTGGTCAGGTAGTAACAATGAGAGAGACAACAGATGGGGAGCTCCAGTGGTATATTTGCAACCCTCCCTGACAATACTTTTAAAAGGGGATGGGGCAGGGGCAGAGAAAAGCTTCCCAGTGCATGAGGTGGATCTTTGAGGGAGGATTTATGAAGAAACAAAGACTCATAAAAGATGCAAAGGCATCGAGGATAGACAGCCAGCATAGATAGCATGAGTACCTGCATCAGTGTGATTGAGACTACTTCAAACTTTCAAAGTCTTATCTCCATCATTTTTTAACTGTGACCCTGGGCAAAGGGCATCATTCAAATACAAAGAGTGATAATTAATGTGGGCCTTCCACTCAGGAGGACACTGGCAGTGTCCTTCCTGGAGCAGGTCAAATCCTTCCCAAAGCATACTTCTTCCTTCCAGCCAAAAGTAGACTATAGACCAGAAAGGAACACTGCAACAACCATCAGGTCAAGCTTTCTTGGAAAGAGGTTATATAGCTCATTAGGACCATGGTCAGCGACCCTTGAACAATCATGGTGAAGGGGACAACCCCACAGAAATAAAAATGGGCAAATGTCATCCCGATGATCAAGAAGGGGCAGCATTTGAACCCAGGTCTTCTTGGCTCCAAGGCCACATTTCTATCTATTACCAGGCTGCCTCTTTATGTAAATAGGTGCTGCTGATGCTACAACTGATGATGATCAGGAGGAGGAGGAAGAAGAGGAGGAGGAGGAGGAGGAGGAGGCTACAAAGGCATTTGAAAAGGGCTATCCCAAGTGAGTGGTTACCAATCTCTTTATTAACATCACACACCTTAGCCAGCTTGCCTGAAACAGAACTAAGCTAAGAAAACTGAAGCTTTGTCCCAGGGCATCAAGATTGGTGGAAACATGGATATTCTTCCTTACGTTGGTCTCCCATGACGTGCACCTCACAGTTCTCTCTGCCATGGCACAATCCTTTTCCCTCACTCAGTCCTGAGCTACTCCCCTCCAGCATCCCACTACCATAGCACCCAGTCCCCAAGGATCCATCTTCCCTCTCAATCCCCACAAGAGGCACAATAGATAGAGCACTGGACCTAAAGTCAGGGAGACCCTGAGTTCAAATCTCAGACCCTAGTCAGGTCATTTCACCTCTACTTGCCTCAGTTTCCTCATCTATAAAATGAGGATATTAATAAGACCTACCTCCCAAGGTTGTTGTGAGGAATCAAACAGGATAATATTTGTGAAGCATTTTACAAATTTTAAAATGCTATATAAATACTAGTTGTTATCTTCATCTTCATCAATCATTATCACAAACTGCCTCCTCTTCTGGCATGATTGCACCTTAGCTAGACTGTCTTTTATCCCCACCACACCTCCTTACCCTCACTGCTTTTTTTCTATAAGCAGATCATTACCTCCACAGTCAAGTTGCTAGTGGTACTCAGAACTTTTTTCTCTGCATCCTGAAATGCTTTCTGCAGCCTCTGCTCCATCGTCTGAACAAATTTGCAGGACTGGATGTTGTCTGACTGGCCCACAAACTGCAACACTAGAAACAGAGCAAAAAAAATCAGCTTTCACCAAAATACAGACTTCTCCATCCTTCTGGGCTAACTGTGATCATGATGGCACCTGATGCCATTTTTGATTATGACATGATGTATGTAACAATAAGGCCAGCAAGAGTTGCTCGTATACATTGGAGCAAAGCATTTTAAATGATTTTTAAGTATAAGAATTGGAGGGATGGCCAAAGTCAAGGTTGCTTAAAGACCAAAGGATTTCATTTCATTATAATAAGTGTATCTGTTAGCATCTGCTCAGGGGAAGATGGCAGCATGAAATGGGGAGATAACTATCTTCACATTGTTTTCCTTAAACGCAACAATGCCCAGTCACTTGTATAATTCCAAATTAGTGGAGTATGGCAACATTCACACTCTCCCACCAAAACTGATATTGAGTGGACAGCCTGGTGAAGGTGACTGGGTCGGGAGTCAAAGAATCAGATACAAGTCCTGGGTTCACCCGTTATTGATTGAGTGACTAATCATAGGCATCATTATACATTCCTGGGCCTCAGTTTCCTCATCTGTAATATGGAAGTGATACTGCCCTGTTTTCCCTTCTCTCACAGTGCTCTTATGAGGATCAGATGAAATAGTGTATGTGAAAGCATAAAGTAAATTACAAAATATGAATGAGGGACAGTAGAAAGAGCCTTGGATTTGGAGACAGGGCACCTGAGTTCAAATCCTAACTCAGCTCTTTATTACCCAGATGATTTTAACCAAGTTGGCACAGTGGAGTAGATACAGAATTGGCCTTGGAGTCAGAAAGACTTAGGTTTGAATTCTGCCTTGGTCACTTCCTATGTGACCCTGGGCAAATCAATTAAGTTCTCCGGGTCTCAATTTCTTCACATGTAAAATGAAAAAGTTGGGTTTGATTACCTTGAAGGCCACTTCCAACTCTAAATCTAAGAGTATACACCTGTGGCCCAGTGAGTTGTTTCATCCTGGATTTAGAACCAGGAAGACTTGGGTTATATCACTAGTAAATGTCTGAGATGGAACTACAACCAGATCTTCTGGATTCCAAGTCTAGAGTCCTCTCCATGATGACATCTTGCTTCTTGACATAAATCTATCTGTGAGCTGTTGTTATTGGCTTCCATCTTGAAACCATGTTTTTAACCAGTTATCCCCTGTCTTCCATCCTCATCCCTGTGAGTAAGATGGTTCTCTCCCTTCAACGATCCCTCCAAAGGTCCTCACACAAGGAGGGACTCACCTGTCTTCAGCTGAAAGGCGTAGGCTGGCTGGGGGTTCCATGGCAAGGCCAGCACTGCCACAGACTGCAGGTTTGGCACATGCTGCTTCAGGTCAGCAGTGACATTGCTAATGCCATAAGCAACCAGGTTCTCAACGACAACAGCAGGAATATAAACCAGTTTCCCCTTGGTGACATAATAACCAACTGTCACATTGTGGGAATGGTCCAGAATTTCCACCTGAAAGGAAGAAAAAAAAGGAGTATAGAAGCCTGCCACGAAGAACTTAATTATAGCTTCTTTTCACATTGCTCTAAATCTGTTCTCCCCTCAAAAAGTGCCTGGCACACAATAATTGCTTGCCAATTGATTGATTGTTGGATTTCATTGGAAGTGAATCATGTTGGGTCACAGTGCAATAAACGATTGGCCAGTGTAGCCGAGACATATGACTTATTCTGGCCAAAGAATGTTCCAGCTAATAGAAGATGACCAGCTATGCCACACAGAGATTATTAATTTTCCAAGAATTAGAATAAAAGAGAATATAATTGATGCCACAAAATGGGAATGCTAATACTCATGAGGGCTACTGTGAGGACAGCACTTTAGAAATATTTTAAAATGGTCACTGTGATTATTTTTAGAAATGGAGTCAGTCGGTTGATGAGTATTTAGGAAGCACTCACTCACTGTGTGCCAGGATAGGGATAGAAAGAAAGGTAAAAGCACTATTTGTGCCCATAACAAGCTCATATTCTAAAATGGGAGACATACATTAAAATAAGTAGGTATGTACAATTGGCCTAGCAAAGTGTGGAAGGGCTCCTTAGTAAAGAGTCTTCTCTGGTTGAAAGGAGGCTGAATAAAATTGCTTTTTCTTTTATTTCCTATCACTTAGTCAAATTGAGGTCTGGGTGTAGAAAGGGGTCTTCAAGGCCAGCTTCAGAACTGGAGGCATGAAGACTTATCATCTGCATAGAGTCCTTGGGCACAAAATCCCACTTTATTTCATATGCCATTTATTCAATCAGTCAATGAGCATTTATTGAGCACCTACTGTGTTCCAGGCACTGTGCCAGGTGCTGGGGATACATATACAATAAACAAAACAGTCCATGACACCTTGAAGAACTTTATTTTCTTGGATCTCAGAGTTAGAAGGGACCGTAAAGACACTAGGCTAACCCCATTTCCCTGGGATTTAAATTTAGCTCCAAACTACTCAGAGCTGATGAGAATGGCCAATGCTATGTACACACCCCAAAACATTGACTACAATGGAAGAAAGCCTGACAAGAGGGTCCCTTTGCTATGAAACTCCTAGGGCCAGTAATTACTGGAAGAACACTAAAGACTCAATAACCTATCGATCCTAGTCATTCCACTCTATGTAATGGAAGGGGCATAACAGCTAGGTGGCACAGTGCATAGAGTACAAGGTGTAGAGTCAGCAATACCAGAGTTGGAATCCTGCCTCACATGCTTACTGGCTGGGAAAGTCACTTAACCTCTTTGTGCCTTAGTTTCCTCATCTATAAAATGGGAATATCTCTCTCACAAGGTTGTTGTGATAAGCAACTGAGTTAATGTGTAAGGTGCTTTGCAAATCTTAAAGTGCCATATAAATGCTAGTAGTAGTAGTAGTAGTAGTAGTAGTAGTAGTAGTAGTGGTGGTGGTGGTGCTGGTAGTGGCGGTGGTGGTGGCAGCGGTGGTGGTGGTAGTAGTGGTGGTGTAATAGTGGCAGTAGTGGTGGGGATGGTGGTATTAGAGGTGATGGTAATGGTAATGATAATGATAGTGGTAGGAGTGGTGGCGGTGGTAGTGATGATTCTAGTCCTAAGTTGGCCACGTCCTAACTGTGACCTTGGGTAAGTCATTTAACCCTTCTACCATGTTGAAGGGCTAGTTGATACACTCTCGTCAACAAAATTACATAACATTGCTGACTTTTCAAAAGACTTTTTGTGGTTGAAAGAGGACTGCTTTCAGTCAGAAGGTCTGAGTTCAAGTCTTGGCCTCACTTTACTTACTAGCTGTGTGACCTTGGACAATTCACTTAATGTTGTGTGTGTGTGTGTGTGTGTGTGTGTGTGTGTGTGCATACTATTACTTATAGGCTTTAGAGAAAGAAGGCATAAGAAATCACTGAGTCCAATGCCCTCTTTGGACAGATAAGAAAACTTGGGTCCAGACAAGTGAAGTCACTTATTCAGGGTCACACAGTCAGAAAGGAGCAGGGTTAAGATTCAGGAATCAAAACTCTCTGAGCCTCCATCTCCTTGTCTGAAAAATGGGGATGATAAAACCTACACTATTTACTGCAGGAGTTTATTTAAGGATAAAATGGGATCCCATAATGAAGATAATTTGTTGAGCTCATCATCATCATCATCATCATTATTGTTATCAGTTCATGATAGCTAATAATAATATCTAGCATTTATATAGCATTTTAAGATTTGCAAAGCACTTTACGCGTGTATCTCATTTGATCCTTATAAAAACCCTGTGAGGTAGGTACCATTATTATTCTCTTTTTATAAATGAGGAAAATGAGGCCATGAAAGGTAAGTGACTTCCCTAGGGTCACACAGTTAATAAGTGTCTGAGACAAGATTCAAACTCAGGTTCTTCTGACTCAAAGACCAGTGCTCTAACCACTGCTATACCCTAGCTTCTCATGTAAGTTACACATCTCTCTTTCACTATGAATGCTTTTGACAATGCCTGTTTTCTTTGATTTATAGCATCACTATGCAATATCTATGAATGTTAATTTTTAACTTTTGGTGCTCTAAATCAGAGAGCCTTGTCCAATGATCAATGAATGAGCTGATACCTTCCTTGAGGAACTGAATGACATAACTATTATTCTCACTATAACTGAAAGCAAGAACAAAAATTTGGCTAAATAGAATTATGGCTTATAGATTCTCCCCAAAGCAGCAAAGAATAATAATTGACATCTGTACATTATTTCGAAGGTTTAGAAATTCCTTTGTATACAATATTTCATTAGCTCCTCACAACAACCCTGTCAGATATTATTTTCCCCATTTTCCACATGAAGAAACTGCATCTTAGTGAAGTGACTTGCCCATTTTCATACAGTTAGTAAGTGTCACAAGTAAGAGTCAAACCCTGGTCTCTCTTGCATCTAACTCTAGGGTTCCCTCAACTATACATCACTCTACCAATCAAATAAAGATATTGACCAAGTTGTTTCATTGTACTCACAAAAAGCAAGAAGAAACATCGTCTTACAGGATACTTGGTCATGTTGTTTTTCAGTGCTTATGAGGCATGGAGGCAAAAATACAACCATGCCCCTATTTACTAACATCTATTGCAGGGGACAAAAAAGCAGAGACTGTACAAAGAATATGATAAGATCTTCCTAACAAAGTCAACATATACTTTGACACTTGGTGACTTCAGTGTATCTGAACAGTGTATATGAACAGGGGAGGATCCTCTCCTCACCAAAATGTTGGAAAACATGGTTCAGGATTCAGAAATGAAAGTGGCCAAAAGACTTATTGACTACTTGGAAGTTTCATATATATACATACATATATATATATGTATGTATGTATATCATCAATATTTTCTTCAAGAAAAGAATAATTTGATAGAGACTTGGTAAGCAATATCAAAACATCAAAAGCAACATCAAAAAATTGAAAATGAGTATGTTTTATGGAAGAGAAACAAGTTAACTAAAATGGAAGTCACTCCAGAATCAGTCATTTGGGTAGTCAGATGACTGACTAGTTTGAAAAATGGTAGAAGTAAACACCAAATTAGAATAAAGGATAAAGATGAGTTAAAGACTCTGTATGCAATTACAATAGTTCTAACTCAACCAATTCAAATTAGCCCTCAATGCTGGAAAATGGGAACTGGACCAAGACAAAGATATTTAATTTCATTCTCACCCACATAAGGTAGTCACCACAAAAATGAGGCCAAAAGAACCCAGAAAACACTTAAGTCAGCAAGCACTAGATCCCCTTGCCAGGAGGAGAAAGACCAAGAATGCCACCAGTCTAGAAAGCAAATCTAGTTGTAAAACACCACGAAGGAGGATGTTACAGATAATATTACCTCAAAACAGAGAAAAGCAATTGAGAAAGAATGGGCCTACAGAAATTTTAGTATGAGTCCTAAGAAAAATCATCTTAAGAGCATTCACAGTTCAAATTGGAAAGACAACAAATAGATGGAAAATAGAACAGATTTGCCAATATTTACATAACCATCTATTCTCACTACCAGCACCAACACCAACACCACTTTAACACCTCAGTGCATGATAAAGAAGTCAGAAGGACACTTAAGAAGATGTAGATACACAATAGCTGGCTTTAAAGTAGTTGGGCTGTCACCTGGAAGGTGAGTTAGATTTGTTTTGCTTGGTTTCAGAAGGCAGAGCCAGGAGCAAAGGGTGGGCATTTCGGGGAAGTGCATTTTGGCTTAATGTCAAGAAAAACTACCAAAGGACACTCAAATGTGGAATGGGCTGCCGTAGGAGCCAGGGCATCCTGCCTCACTAGAAGTCTTTAAGCAAAGGCTGGATGATGACCTCTTGGCAGGAATATGGTGAAGGCACTTCTTGTTCAAATGTGGATTACCCTTGATGGTCTCTAAAGTAATTTCAAACTCTTTGATTCTTTGAAGGTAGGAGAAAAAAACAGCTCCACCAAACCGAGTACACGCAGAAGAAATTCATGCTAGCTGTAGCAGAATTTAGAGAGCATTAAAGGATCAAATCTCAAATTTATCTCAAGGTACAATATCAAGTACTTGGGAAAATGGACATTATTATTATTCCCCCTTGCACCCTGTGAAAATCAGTCAAGAAGATATCAGTAACTGCTGACCCAAATACATACTTTCTCTATGAAATCCTTACGAGAAAGAGCTATACATGGATCAAGGGTATCTTTGATGAAAATATGAGAAGGGAACAGGCAGGCTTTTGTAGATGATTTTCTATAGCACACCACAATTCCGTGGACAAAGAATTGACTGAAGGGTATAGAGTTCAACATTCTAGTGTTTATTTATTACCAAGAAAAAAAGCATTTGACTCAGTAAATCATTATGCCACCTTGAAAAATCTTTTCATGAAGGTATAAAGTTATTAAAAATAGAAAAAAACTTGACAGATACAATCACAGAGACAACCTTTCTCAGTGATTCCTTATTAAAAGCAGGCAGATGTATGTTTGCTGAACATGCTTCCTGTGGTCATGGAAGATGCCCAGCACGGAGTCTAAGGGAAAGGAAGAAGTTTTTTTTTTCAGTTGTCGTTTTTTTGGTTTTGTTTGTAGAGAGTAAATGTCTTTCAGATGCTTTTGCCTGAAGATGACGTCAAGCCCCAAATACTATGGGGAATATTCAATGAGATCAACTGTTATTCAAAAGCAACTGACCTAACACTTCATATGGGAGAAACCAAATGGATTAAACAATGCCTACCACACAAACATAAGACATGTAGTTGTATGGGGGGTTCTATTGTCATATATCATGGAGCTATATGGGAGATTCTATTAAATTAGCCATCAATATCTATATCTATATCTATAGATATCTATAGGTATAGTTATATAGATATATATATCTAACGATGGACAGTAAGTGGACCCGAAATGAACATGAAGAAGAGTGGACAAGTTTACATCTGGACAATCATGCTGTTTTTCAATGATCTCAAGTTTCCCCTCAAAGTATAAACTCATTTGTTTAGTGCCATCATTTTCCTGATAGTGTTGTATGGCTGTAAATCATAGAATGATTCAATCTAAAGGATTAAAACTGTTGCAACACAAAGGAAAATGCGAAGGCATAGGTAGTCCCAAGTATGTTATAGACAATTTGCACACAAGAAGTTTTTTCAAGAGACATCATGCAGAATACGTATGATCAAAAAAGGGAGTGGGCTAGTGTTGTATGAAGAGTGACGGATCATAGATGGACAGTCTGTGTGCTATCATGATTACTACAAAATATTTCTAAAATACACACAAAGGTTTTCAGTATGTTGGGTAGATTCACTGTGGAGGACTGATCAGAGAACACAGAATTACATAGATTGAGATCATGGATAAGTTGAAATCTGCACCACTGGAGGAAAGATTTGTGTCTACAAGATCAAATATCGATTAAAATATACTTTGTCTACGACATGGGTTCTTAATGTAGATCCATGAAATTTTTTTTTTAACATTATGATAGCTGTATTTCAATATCACTGATTTTCTTTGTAATCCTATGTGCTTTAGTTTACATATTTAAAAACATTCTTTAAAGGGATCCATAGGCTTTGACAAACTGCCAAACAAAAAAGTTATTAAAAAAAGAAAGTCCCTGTATTATCATTAGGAACATCAGTACCATTTTCTATAGAAACCCAGCTCTAACAGGTACCAGCGGGGCAGATTTGATTCCTCTGACCTTAGAGTCCCTAAGTCTCACTTAGCTATCCTCTTTACCTTGGCTTACATCTCCATCAGATAATCCAACTCAGTCGCCACCAATTGCAAAAGTTCATATTTTGAAACATTAAATACAAATTCTTGGTGGAGGAAACACAGACTCTTCGGAATAATGTTCAGAGGGGAATAAGTAGGTAGAGCCTTCTCTTTTTCTGTCCCCCAGAAGTGTTGAGCTAAGCTCCATCAAATGACAAAATATTCAACAAAGAGAATGAAATGTATGTGATATGAAAGGGACCTGGGCTAAGTTTGGCAGTGGTATTTGGAGTGTCCGATTGCCAATTAGAACCTACATCATCAATTCTGATTCTCTAAAGTGTTTAGAATTACAGCATTAAAAACCTGGATGGGGCCCAAACAGGGCATCTATCATTTCTTTGGGTGATCAAAGTCAATCAGCAGTTGCTAAATAATACTTGGCATTCTGCAGCCAAGGAAAACATCTCATTCCACGTCTGTTGCTGGCAATCCAACTCAAGTCAGCCTTAATTCATGAGTCTAGATGACTTTAAAATTTCCAGATATAAATCACTAGCCATTTTTGTGGGTAGTATAGTTAAAAGGAAAAGCAGCGGGCAATGCTTTGTTGGAAACCCTGTTAATGAAGCCAAACGTCTTTGCAAAGCTCTGGGTAATTGGAATGTTTCACACATTGTCAAATAGCAAAATGTCAATTACCTAAAATTTGTCATTCTCTAAAATGGGTCTTTGTTCCTAATGACCTGCCTTTGCTAAGTAACTGAATAAATAGTGATAGCTCTATCTATAATTAGCTGTGACACCTTGGACAAACCACTTCTCAGGGCCTCAGGGTTCTAAACTGTAAAATATGAGGTTTGAGCTAATCAGGAGTTCTTAACCTGAGGCCCATGAATTCGTTTTTTAAAAAATATTTGGATACCTGTATTTCAATATATTTGGTTTTCTTCGTAATTCCTTGTATTTTATTTAATGCATTTTAAAATATTATTCTAAGTTGGGGTTCATAAGCTTCTCCAGATTGCCAACAGGGTCCATGAGACAAAAAGATGAAGAAATTCTTTAATAGAAGGTATCTGAGGTCTTTCTATCTCTGACCCTCTATGATTCTATGACCCCATCCCCCACTCCCTTACCCTTTCCTTTCTGTAAAACTTGACTGCTAGATGATCTCTGAGAGAGACCCTTCTAGCTCTGATATTCTAGGGTATGATGATTCTATGACTTTAACCTTCTGGGCCTCAGTTTCTCCATATGGAAATTATCTCTGTTCCTAAAGACCTGCCTTTGTTAAATAACAGGGTATTGGGTTTACCACTAATTAGCTTTGGACGAATCACTTGACCTCTCTGGGATTCAGTTTCCTTTTCTGTAAAATGAGGGGATTGAGCTTGATAACACCTTATGAAGTCCATTCTGGCTCTGACATTCTTTGATTTCATGTTTCTGGACCCTATTTTCCTTGTGGGTTCATTGAGAGGTAGAGGAAGGGTCAGGGAGGGGCATGTCACAGGAGATAAGCTGTAAGGGTTCCTTCCAGTTCTTTCATTCTGTGCTCTGTTCCTGAGGGAAGAGAGCTATGTTAGGCGCTTGAGGCCTTTCTTCTAATGTTTAAGGAGTGCATATAGTCACGATGAGTAAAAGAAAACCTAAAACTCTAGCTGGAAAGAAGAGACACAGATAGGTTACTCTGGTTTCAAACAAGGGCAAGTGATGGTAGCTTACGTGTGCATAGATATCATTCTGGCGGAAAGCTTTCTGCAGGGCTTGTGTGAGCCCTTTGGCTACATCAGGCCTCAGGGAATCATTGATCTGTAGCCTCCTCTGGGTGAGAAAGAGAACTGTTCAAAAAAACACACACACATTAGTGCAAAGTGGTCACATTCCATCCTTTCAAATAATCTGGTTTTAACTTACCTCTCCCCTGTATGAGTTCTCCATAAAAATGGTGAACACAGACCTACCTGTTCAGAGCCCTCAGTGAAGGCCCCACCAAGAGCCCCAAGAATAGAAAGTCCCAGGATCCACTTAAAACAATGAGTATAAACCAAATTGTAGCTATCTTTCCATGTGATGGTAACTGGAGTCAGGAGATCTGAGGGGAAAACTAAGGATATATCTGAAAAGCATGATGTGTATCTCTCAGGGCCATAATTATACCGGGCCATTTGGGGTCATAGTCTTATCTTGGGGAACACTTAAGCTCGATTTGGAGGAAGAAAATACTAGCAAGGTAGCAAGAGAGGTATCAAGCAATAGTCTAAAGATCACACTTCTCAGGCTCCTCCCAGGGGTGGGGGTGGCGGGGAGAAACCTTTTTATGCTGAATCAGCAGAGGAAACAAGTAGGAAGAGGCATCCAGGGCTCACCAACGTTCATGTGTTCCCAATCATTAGCCTGTTTAGCCACCAGTCAGCATCAAGCCAGCCAGGACTGGGTTTGTTTTTTTTGTTGTTGTTGTCGTTCAGTGGTTTTCAGTCGTGTCTGACTCTTCATGACCCCATTTGGGAGTTTCTTGGCAAAGACGCTGGACTGGTTTGCCATTTCCTTCTCCAGCTCATTTTGCAGATGAGGAACTGAGTATAACAGCCAATTAAAACCAGCTCTGGTTGTCCTGATATTGATTGACAGCTCAGTTAACAAGTGAAATTGACAGAAAGAGAGAGAGAGGGAATGGTGCTTTTCCTCTTCCATTTTAAAATGTGCTCCATAACTATTTCTGGGGCCCTGATAATAAAAAATTTCTGCATCAGGTCTTCACATTACCATTGCCTCCAAGGGTTTCTATGAGTATCCTAACTCACCTACATCTACAGATAATAATGAAGAGTAGACATGGTGGAAAGATAGGTAGGTGGTGCAGTAGATAGAGCGCCTGACCAGCAGTCAGGAAGACTCATCTTCCTGAGGTTAAATCCAGCCTCAGACACTTACTAGCTGTGTGACCCTGGGCAAGTCACTTAACACCATTTGCTTTAGTTTCCTCATCTGGAAAATGAGCTGGGGAAGGACCATTCCAATGCCTTTGCCAAGAAAACTCCAAATGGGGTCACAAAGAGTCAGACATGACACATAAGCTCCTAGAAGCTAGAGGAGATATTAGTCTTTATGCTAGGACTAGACTCACAGCATCCTCTTTTAGTCTGGAATGTATTTAAATATATCATTTCATTGCATTCTTAGTTTGTGGGGTAGTGAGAGAAGAGTAAAATAAACAGGCATAGGTGCGTTCAGCCTTGACGTATTCTTTAAAATAATTTATCAACCCCCTTTTTATAGCAGAGCTAAACAGCACTATTAATAGCATGCTATGTGTTCTAGGCCATCTCTTAACTGTAGTCAGAAACTGCATTGCATTAACCCTACTGCTGCTGGAGGGATTCAAAAATGTCTGTGAAGCTTAACCAGGACCCTCCCTTTTCCTGAGTAACATTAATGCAGTTATATGGCATGGTAGATAGAGGGCCAGCTTCAGAGACAGGAAAACCTGAATTCAAGTCCTGACTCTGACATATAGTAGCTGTGTGACTGGGGCAAGTCTCTCAGCACATCTAGGCAACTCTAGGAATGCAACAGATGACTTGTTGACTTCCATTAGTTTCTCACATCAAAAACATCATAGATGTGATAAAAATAAACAAGCAAAACACCAACCCCTCAAAACAAAAACACTGATACAGAACATATTATAACCCAGAAACTATATTCCATAATTTGCTTAACTCTTACACTCTCTTAGAATCCAAAGGGGGAAAACTATTCCACCACTACAAAATAGAAGTTTTTTCCCTCCCATCTCTAAGACCAGGATGCACTATTGTTTCCAATTATTTCTCACCTGTCTTCACCGTTAGTTTCCTGGACATCTGACACTCTAGATTCAAGGTGGTTTTGCCGGTTGTGACCACAGTAGTTGAAGCCACTGGGAGAGCGGCCGATGTGTTTTCCACGGGTAAGGGAGGGAGTTTAGTTGCCTTCCCTGATGTGGTAATAGACGTCAGAGCTGCCATGATGGTCAGTGGGAATGTAGTGGAGATTCTGGGCATTTCAGAGTTGGCTGCTTTGTGGTAGTCCGATTGCATGGCTTGAGATTTCCCAGGGAAATGTGTTGTTGACAACCTTGCAGCGGCTGTGATCATATTCGCCTGCGTGGTTCTGTGGGTCGTGGATACGAAGGGGGAAGCTGTGGGAGTGTCAATTGCCTTGGTTGTACTCGCCGCCATCTGGGAGCCTGGTGTTCCACTGGGAGTGCCATTTTTAGCCAGCACTGGGGTCAGGGTGCTTTTGGCTACCATTGGTGAGGGAACGGAGATTTTGTTTTCAGTCCCCTTGGACACTAAAGCGGCAGATAACGCAGATAGAGTGTATTTTCCTATCACCCGTGTGGCTGTTGTTGATGCCACAGTTGGCACTGCCTCAGGGGACATAGAAGAGTATGCTGCAATGAGAGAATAAGTACAATTTGTGGTTGGTCAGAATAAAACACAGGGAAGGGGCATTGGTGATGAATGGATGTCACTTATGAAACTATTTGCTTGCAAGGGTTGGTGCTAGGGCCATGTTGGGACAGGGAAATTTTAGGTCTAATAGCTTTAGACTCATTAGGTCAGAACAGTTGTTATGAAAACACTATTTACATCAATGCTATGCTACTGCTCCTTAATAAAAGCATTGAAGTTCTGAATGCTTCTGGACAAACAAATGGCCAGAAGGATCAGAACCTGGGCTTCTCAGGAGCTCTGTCCCATTACAAGGAGTGTGTGCATAGTTGTACGTCTATGTGTTCCTTCAGAGTAAGGCTAGATAATGATGTTGAAATTGAAGATGCTTTGGCCGTGGAAGTGGTCATACCTGTGTGTTGGGAACCAGGAACCAAACTACCTGCATGAGCAGTTGCAACAGTCCAATTCTCAGGGACTGGAGAAGTCAGCGGTACTTTGGGTGTTGTCTTGAATAAGGCATGAGTTAGTGTGGGAAGAACGGTGGCAGGGAATGTCCAAGATTTGCGGGCACTCTGGAATGACACAGAAGTGCTTCTCGTAGGCAACGGATGACGAGTACTGGCAAATAAGGTTCTTGTCTCTGTTTCCCCTGAAAGCATTTCCTGCAAGCTGATGGGAGGAGTTACATCTGATGAGGCTGGTGGAAGAGATGTGAAAAGTGGAGGCGATTCTGAGGGAGGACTTGGAAGGAGATGTTGATCGGCAGTTGTGAAAGCTTCACGTAGAGCTAGGGGTGGACTGAAGGATGTTTCAAGGTCCCAGGTGATGTTTTTGTGGCCTGTGGGCCAAAAGTCTGTAGAGTTTCCAATAGCAGTAACTCTGGCCTGATGTGTAGCTTGCTCCATGGCTTGCTCTGTGCTCGGATTAAGGGATGGATACTGAACACTGAGCCCCTTAGCAAAGGTCAGCTGCAAATCAGAACCTCTGACCTCTGGAGAACGTGTCATTTTGGCAGCTAAATTTGAGCCATTGGGAGCAGTGATCTTGGGAGAATGAGTCACTGAAGGTACAGGACTTTTTTCATGTCCGTTTAAATCAGAACCTTTTTGGTGAGACAAGACAGGTATCGCTGATTCTAAGAAACGAGACTCAGTTTCTTCTGGAAGAAAAGTCTGGGATCCAATTGTCCTCGTTAACTCTTGGGTTCTTGCTGGTATGGAAGAATGAAGAGGATTAGCTGCCTCCTGCTTAGGGACTAAAGTCGTGACTTTAGAAGTATTTGCAGGTGTCATCCTGACCTCAGACTCAGCATCTGCTATGGGAGAAGACTTCAAAGAAGCAGAGGATCCCTCTGTGGGTGGAATAGGAGGAACAGGTAACTCTGACAGCGTGAGATTTGTTCCCCGTTCTGTGAGGACAGCGGCTGGAATGTGATCGGTGGTCAAATCTGATGTGGCCTCACTTAAGGTGGACTGGCTGGTGGTCTCCTGAGTGGGAACGGCGCTGGGAGATATCACCATATTGGCTTTTTCATTTCCCATGAAAGCACTCATCATGCTGCCTTCTTTCCCTAAAGGAAGACTTGCAGTTGTAGAGTAATAGCCAGAGGATTGGCCTGTCTCCGTGAGGAGCAAGTCTGCAGGAGTCCCATCCTCGTTCTTTTCTTTAGAAGTTGGATTTTTTGCCACCGTAAGCAGAGGAGATTCCTTGCTTTGGGACGGCCGTGGGAATTCGGGTGTGGAGAAAGAGGCTGGTTCATTTTTCATTGCTGGTGAAGAGGTGGCATGAGCAGCAGCTGCTTCACCTGCAGATGCAAAAGACCAAGTGGCTGGCACCAGAGAGGAAGGGGCATGTTTCGCAGAATGGGACCTTGCCTTCACATCCTCAGGAGCTGGCAACAAATGCACAGGCTTGTTTACAGTAGCAGGGGCAGGTTGACTGTGTCTCCTTTTCATGGAAGCGGCTTCTCTATCTGTACTTTGGACAAGTCTGGACCCCACTTCGGGCATCTCTGATGAGCTCTCAAAAGCCGGCCAGGACACACTGCCATGGGCCCTTTTAGTCACTCTTGATTTGAATGGTTGAGTGCGGACTGGGCCTGAAGAAGACATATCTGTGAACTTCAACAATGTGGGGGTTTGACTTGGAAGCCAAGGTAGACTTCCAGGCGCAACTGGTGGGGAAGACAGATGGGGTATGTCTGGCATGGAATTCACAAACACAGATGTAGATGGGCTTTCTGGGTGCAGTCTCTCACTTGGGGCCAGTCTAGAATACTGTGTAGTTGTAGATCCAGAAAAATCCAGACTGAGGATGTCTGTTAATTCTTGGGCCTTTCTGGATGGAGGGTGACTTGTTTTACTGGAAAGAAGGTCTAAGGGATTATCAGTACTTTCTCTATGGGAAGAATCAAGGGGAACTGTCTGGGGGAATGAAGGCACTTTGTCTGGTAGCTCAGTAGGTTTAGAAAATATAATGGTATGAGGTGAGCCAGCAACTGATGAAGAGAGGGATGGGGATGGAAGAGCTGAAACAATGTCTGACCCTGATGTGTGCTGGTTTGGAATGGAAGGTGTTCCTAATGGCACTGGCTGAGATGACAGGACAGCACTCGACAATGTCACAGATGGTGTTGTGGACAATGGGACAGACATGTTGGGTTGAGGCAAACCTGACAGGTCAGCTGCTTCATCCGAGTCTCGAGGTCTTGGGTGGGTGAGAGCCTGAGCCAATTCCTTGGGAGGATCCAGGGATGCACTATGCCCACTCCCTTGATAAAGGGCAGAAGAGAAATCTGTCTGAGCCCTAGTTCTAGGGGGAGGGTGTGCCAGTGTGGATTTGATTATCTGAAGCAAGCTTGCATTTTCAGGAAAATGTCTCATGGGGTCCTTGAGCCTGTCAACATTCAAGGAAGACTTTAATTCCCAGGAAGGCCATGTTGGTGATGTTGATGTAGATCTCCGAGGGTTTGTAAATGATTGTGGGGTTAGGGTGACATTCATCTGCAGATGGTTGGTACCTGTAAAAATAAGGAATATTCACGTATTTTAATTTTGTCATCTGGTCCCCATTGGAGGAATGAATCACGAAAGCCAAGTGTGAATTATGTGCCAGATAATCACCTGCCAAGATAAGGCAGGTTTTCCATTTGGTGGTGATAAAATGGGAATAAATATAATTAGAAGACACTGAAGTATAAAACCACCACATGGGAAAGAGAATGAAGTCAAATGGCAGTATCTTCTCTAGACTAGTAGCTGCACTTAGCAGCAGAAAACATCTAGCATAGATACTGAGTGTGAAGCGTGAGGAAACTGTTGTTTAAACTACCCAAGTTTGGAAGTATTTCAGCCACATGATTTCTTACACTGGAAAGATTCCCTGAGGCTATTCTCTCAATCAAAAAAAAATATCATAGGAAATTTCCTTTTCCAAGTGCCTGTACAAAGGAAAAATGTTCAGAGCCAGTCAAAGAAAAGGATCACTATGCATATGCCCAGAGGGTCATTCATTATAAGACCTCACTTTTTTTTTGGCCAACACCAACATGGGAAAACAATAGACAGAAGAGCAAGAGGTTGTTAAAGTTACAAAAAAAAAAAGATTCTTAAAGTAGAGGAGCCAGGGAGAAAAAAGAGCATCAGAAAGCTAGACACTTGTCATGAGAGGTGTAGTCATATGGCAAATAGGTAAGTAAGATCATAGGGTCACAACGCTAGGGCTGGAAGGGCCATTGGAAGCTATCTAGTCTAATGTCCTCATTTTGTGGATGAGGAAACTGAACCCCATTGGTGAAATGATCTGTGCAAGGTCATCCACATATCACGTAACAGAGACAAGATTGAAACCCTGGTCTTCTGGCCCCCGATTCAGTGCTCTTTCTGAGACATCTCACTTCCTTCCCTTTCTCTCAAATGCCAAGGTGGGATAGTAATGAAGAACTCTGTATGTGGAGGTGAAAGGCTGGGATTCAAAACCCAACTCTCTGACATTCTCTAAGTGGATAATCTTAGGCAAATTGCTTCACTTTTCTGGGTCTCATTTTCCTCACCTCTAAAATGAGGGGATTGGATTAGAATGGTCCCCAATTTAGCTCCCTCCCAGCTCTAAATTCATGATCTGATGACCCTACCTCTAACACTTCTAAATCTGTGACCCTGTGATTTCTGATTCCACTCATCCAAGTAGAATTTATCATTCACGCCCTCTTCTTTTCAATCTTTTCTTGTCTACTGTTTCCTTATTACCTACAAATGTGCCCATGTTTCCCAAAACCCCTCGCTTAATGCATTCATTCCTACTGGTTACCATTCTATATCTCTCCTTGCTTTTCTTGCTGAATTCCTTGAGAAGGCCATCTTACGACTGATGCCTCCACTTTCTTCTCATTATATTCTTAAATCTCTACAGTCTGGCTTCTTAACTCATTTGACTAAATCTGCTCTCTCCAAAGTTACAGAGATCTCTTCATTGCCAAATCCAATCACCTTTTCTCAATCCTTATTCTTCCTGATCCCTCTGTAGCCTTCAACGCTGATGATCACCCTCTTCTCCAGGATACTCCCTTTTCTCTAGGTTTTTGTGACACCACTCCAACCTGGTTCTTCTACCTATCTGACTGCTCCTTCTTAAGTCTTCTCTGCTGGATCTTCATCCAGATCACTCCCTCTAACCATCGATGTCCCTCAAGATTCTCTTCTCTTCTCCTTCTATACTTCTTCACTTGGTGATCTCATCAGCTTCCATGGATTTAATTATCATCTTTATGTTGATGATTCTTAAATCTACCTGTCCTGCCTCAGTCTCTCTGCTGAGTTCCAACTGCTTCCTTCAAGTCCCAGCTAAGATCCTACCTTCTATAGGAAGCCTTTCATGATTCTCCTTAATTCTAATGTTTTCGAGGATAGTTGTAGAAAAACCTGAGAAGACTTGTATGAACTAATGCAAAGTGAAGTAAGCAGAACCAAAAGAACAATTTATACAATAACAACAATATTTTAAGGATAATCAACTTTGAATTAGTAACTCTGATCAACACAGTGACTAACCATAATTCCAAAAGACTCATGATGAAAAATGTTATCCACCTCTGGATGGAGAGCTGATGCACTCAGAGTGTAGGTTGAATCATATTTTTTTTCTTTCTTTCCTTCCTTCCATGCTTCCCTTTCTCCCTTCCTTCCTTTCTTTTTCCTTCTATTCTTCTCTTCTTCCATCCTTCTTTCCTTCTTTTTATCTTTTCCTCCTTCCTTTCTTCCTTCCATCCTTCTTTTGTTTTTTAATTTTTTTCCATCCTTCTTTCTATCTTTTCCACCTTCCTTTCTTCCTTCTTTCTCTCCAGCCCTCCCTCAATCATTCCTTCCTTCTTTCCCTTTTTTCTTTCTTTTGGACATGGCTAATCTGAGAATTTGTTTTGCATGACTATACATATTTGTAAAGGATTTTGTTTTTCTTCAATGGGTGGGGGACAGAAGACGGAACCAAAACAAAATTGAATTTAAAAAAAAATTCTAATGCCTTTCCTCTGTTGATTATCTCCAGTTTATACTAGAAATATTGTTTGTACATAGCTATTTATATGTCATCCTTCCCATTAGACTGTGAGATTCTTCAGAGCAGAGCTGTTTTTGCCTCTTCCCTCCAATCCCTGTACACCCACCAAATATTAGACCCCAAATCCCAGAATAGACTAATTTGAGCTCTTGTTCTAGCTAATGTAGATAGTAAATCCCTTTTCCATCTACATGGAAGGTAAAACAGCAATGATTTCTAGAATCAGCCGTCTTTATTTCATCCTGTGCCTGGCAACCCTAAAAAAATTCATTTTTGTTCTTTTAACACTGTCTTGTTTTTTTATGTTATTTTACCATCCCACTCAGCCTAAGCCGCCCATTGAAATGGGGCTTAAAGTCACTTCAAATAATAACAGGCAGGAGTAGTTGGATTACAAGATTTTACAATGAAAAGCTAAACTTTTCCTCAGCAAAATATGGGCTTCCAGTGGGCCTTACTACACCTGTCACCAAATGATACTTATTAAGGACCTTTGCATACAAGTCAGGGCATGATATATGTAGTTCCTATCCTCTAAAAACTTATATCATAAAACAGGATATATCAAATATGCTAGGACCTCTGTCTACATACACAATGTGCTGTAATAACATGCATACATACCAGCACAAATATGACAAGCTCAAATACTACAGTATGTAACTAAAGGAGACAAATATTCTAGAGGTTAACCATCAACTCCCATGTGTTTTTGAGGACTGGATGGCAATTAGGATGGGGGAGTTCAAGTCAACAAGCATTTATTAAGTGCCTACTATGTGCTAGGCACTGTATTAAGTGCTAGGGATAGGAAGAAGTGCAGAAAACTGGTTCCTGACCTCATGAAGCTTACATTCTAATAGGGGAGACAACATGTAAATAATTAGGTATATACAAGACACATCCACAGCAGATGGAAAGGAAAGGGTGTTTTATTGAGGCAAGAGATGTCAAGGGATCTTAAAGGAGGGTCCTAAGCAGAATTAGGGAGAAAACAGGTGATCTAGTATTGGTGTGTTATCATTAAGGAAGATGAGAAATAGGGAGCAGAAAAATCAAATAAAGACGAAATCACACACACATACATATAAAATAAATTTTGGCTCAGTGTTCTTGACAGTGTTTAGCATAGCGCCTGGCACATAGTAGGTGCTGAATAAATGCTTATTGACTGACTAACAGGCTCAGAACTTTGGACTGGATCTAATAATATAAGATTTAATAGGAATAAGTGTAAGTCTTGTACTTGAGTTCAAAAATATCAGTTGTACCAGTTGGAGGAAACAACAGTTTGTTGGGAGAAAAAAGATCTGGGGGTTTGCATATAAATGCAAAATGAGTTAATTGTGTGATATGGCAGACAAGAGGCATAGTTTCCAAGAATGAGGACACGAAGAAACCATCTGCTCTGGTTGAACCACGTTGAAGGAATATTGTGTTCGGTACCACAGGGCAGTTAGGTGGCACTGAGGATAGAACATGGGACCTGAAGACTCATCTTCCTGGGTTCAAATTCAGCCTCAGACACTTCCTAGCTGTTTGATCTTGGACAAGTCACTTCACCCTGTTTGCCTCAGTTTCCTCGTCTGTAAAATGAGCTGCAAAATGAGAAGGAAATGGCAAACCACTGCAGTATCTCTGCCAAGAAAACCCCAAATGGGATCATGAAAAGTCAGACATCACTGAACAACAATAACGATTTGGTACCACATTTTAGGAAGGGTATTGATAAGCCAGGGAGTATACAGAGAAGAGTGACCAAGATTGTGACAGGCCTCAAGTTCTCACCACACGAGGCCCAGTCAAAGCAACTGGGGACCTTCTTTATCCTGGAGAAGTGACCCTGTAGATGTGGGGGGACCCAGCTGCCCTCTTCAAGTCTCTAAAGAGCTATCATATAGATTTATTCTGTTTATTCCTAGCCAGAACTAAAAGCCATAGTCAGAATTTGAAAAGGGGCCAATTTAGACATGATTTAAGGAGAAAAGTTCCTAACAAATAGCCCTGTTCAAAAATTGAAAGGACCAACTTGGGAGGTAGTGGATTCCTACTATCATGGGTGTGCTTTCATGCTCCAGTGGGAGCAAAGGCTGGTACAATAAAAACAAGGTTCTTTTGGGGGCAACAAGAAATTCCATAATTCTCTTATTTCTGCATTTTCTCTTTTTCCTAGTCATCTTTCAGGTCACCAGATAACTTTGACCTCAGACCAGTGCAGTGCACAGAGCATTGAACTTGGAGTCAGGAAGACCTGAGTTCAATTCTTGTGTGATTCTAGGCAAGTCATTTGTCTCAGCCTCTGTTTCCTCATCTGTAAAATGGAGATAATAGCACCTCACAAAGTTATTGTCAGGATCAAAGGAAATAACATCTGTAAAGCACTTTGCAAAGCTTCTTTATAAATCCGAGCTATTATCACAAATTTTGAAAACCATTACATGAATTGGCGATGGCTCTAAGGAAGAC